CTTTTGTTTATGCAGTGTTATTGTAGCCATGTTGGCCCCAGGATATTAGAGAGACGGGGTTGGGTGTGGTAATATCTTTTATTGTTCCTCCTTCTGCTGGTGAGAAGCTTTTGAGTTTCAGAGATTTTTTTTTTTTCAGATCAAGGAAACTTTTATACAGCGTGTCAAAGTGAAATATAAGCTAAATAGAAGATGAAAGAGATAGGCACGGATAAATTAGTACATATTTCAAAGGAACCATTCAAGGGGAAGTCGCAATCTCATCTTTCCATCCAGGAGAAGAATCATAGGACTGGAAGGGACCTCGATAGGTCATCGCGTCCAGCCCCCCGCCCTCAAGGCAGGACCAAGCTCCGTCTACACCATCCCTGACAGATGTCTATCTAACCTGTTCTTAAATATCTCCAGAGAGGGAGATTCCACCACCTCCCTTGGCAATTTATTCCAATATTTGACCACCCTGACAGTTAGGAATTTTTTCCTAATGTCCAATCTAAACCTCCCTTGCTGCACTTTAAGCCCATTACTCCTTGTCCTGTCCTCAGAAACCAAGAGGAACACATTTTCTCCTTCCTTCTTGTGACACCCTTTTAGATATTTGAAAACCGCTATCATGTCCCCCCTTAATCTCCTTTTTTCCAAACTAAACAAGCCCAGTTCATGAAGCCTGGCTTCATAGGTCATGTTCTCTAGACCTTTAATCATTCTTGTCGCTCTTCTCTGTACCCTTTCCAATTTCTCCACATCTTTCTTGAAATGTGGCACCCAGAACTGGACACAGTACTCCAGCTGAGGCCTACCTAGTGCAGAGTAGAGCGGCAGTATGACTTCACGAGTTTTGCTTACAACACACCTGTTGATACAACCTAGAATCATATTTGCTTTTTTTGCAACAGCATCACACTGTTGACTCATATTCAGCTTGTGGTCCACTATGACCATCCCTTTCCGCCATGCTCCTTCCTAGACAGTCGCTTCCCATCTTGTATGTATGGAACTGATTGTTCCTTCCTAAGTGGAGCACTTTGCATTTCTCTTTATTAAACCTCATCATGTTTACCTCTGACCATTTCTCTAACTTGCTAAGGTCATTTTGAATTATGTCCCTATCCTCCAAAGAAGTTGCAACCCCACCCAGTTTGGTATCATCTGCAAACTTGATAAGCGTACTCTCTATCCCAATATCTACATCATTGATGAAGATATTGAACAGTACGGGTCCCAAAACAGACCCTTGCGGAACTCCACTTGTTATCCCTTTCCAGCAGGATTTAGCACCGTTAACAACTCTCTGACTACGGTTATCCAGCCAATTATGCACCCACCTTATCATGGCCCTATCTAATTTATATTTGCCTAGTTTATCAATAAGAATATCATGCGAGACCATATCAAATACCTTACTAAAGTCTAGGTATTTGACATCCACCGCTTTTCCCTTATCCACAAGGCTCGTTATCCTATCAAAGAAAGCTATCAGATTAGTTTGGCATGACTTGTTCTTCACAAACCCATGCTGGCTGTTCCCTATCACTTTATTACCTGCTCTGTTTTTTTAAAGCCCCTGGTAGGGCGCTTCCTCAAAGGATTGGATAGATCCCTCCCTCAGGTGAGAGAACCACTCCCCTTGTGAGACCTTATCCTGGTCCTCTCCAAGTTAATGTTCCCATCTTTTGAACCACTAGCTTCTTGCTCACTCCTGGAAAAGAGGAGACTAAGGGGGGATATGATATACAGGGCTCAACAAATCCGTTTATCTACTCACCCGTGGCGAGTAGATTTCAGCTGGTTGCCCTGTTCACTGGTGATGTGAGTGTGCGCAATGCGGGGCTGATGAGTGGATTTCGCCATGATTTGTCGAGCCCTGATGACAGAGGTCTATAAAATCATGAGTGGTGTGGAGAAAGTGAATAAGGAAAAGTTATTTACTTGTTCCCATAATATAAGAACTAGGGGCCACCAAATGAAACTATTGGGCAGCAGGTTTAAAACAAATAAAAGGAAGTTCTTCACACAGCGCATAGTCAATCTGTGGAACTCCTTGCCTGAGGAGGTTGTGACGGCTAGGACTATAACAGGGTTTAAAAGAGAACTAGATACATTCATGGAGGTTAAGTCCATAAATGGCTATTAGCCAGTATGGGTAAGGAATGGTGTCCCTAGCCTCTGTTTGTCAGAGGGTGGAGATGGATGGCAGGAGAGAGATCGCTTGATCATTACCTGTTCGGTTCACTCCCTCTGGGACACCTGGCATTGGCCACTGGGCTGGATGGACCTTTGGTCTGACCCAGTATGACCATTCTTATGTTCTCTGCCTCTCGTGTAAGATATAATTGCCAACAGAAAGGCTAACTGCCAGAAGGGTCTCAGAGCTGAGGGCACTCATGTCAGAGCCACCCTGTATAGTCTTCCACAACGACAAGGTCCAGCTCGGACCTCACCCTGTTTTCCTTCCCCAGGTGGTCTCATATTTCACTTAAAATACAAGGAGGAAGGTAACCTAAGCCATGTACCGTTGCATTTGCTGGATGTCTGTAGAGCACTTGCCTTTTATATACAGCGCATAAAACCCTTTAGGAAGTCATCACAACTTTTTGTTGCTGTTATGGAGCATATAAGGGGGCTTCCAGTTTCCTTTCAGTACATCTCTTTATGGATCATGGACTGTATCTCTAGGTGCTATGAGTTAGTGGGTGTCCCTATCTCCACAATTACTGCACACTCCTTGAGGACAAAGGCCTTCTTAGTCCAAGTTCTGATCCAGGACATTTGCAGAGCAGCTACCTGGTTTTCCATTCACACGTTCATGGTCCTTTATGCCTTTGGCGAGATGCTGCTCCAGTAGGCAGGGTAGTCCTACATTCAGTGGATAACTGACTCCAACCCAAGCTCCTTGGGTTCAGCTTAGCAGTCACCTTCATTGGAAATACGTGAACAAGCATTCAAAGAAGCAAAAATGGTCACTAACCTTTTGTAACTGTTGTTCTTTGAGATGTGTTTTTTTGCATCAGCTGCTTTATATGAAAGCCAGTTTTTGAATGGTATGGTCTCCTAGGTAGCCAGGACTCCTTAGGCAGCCGCATGTAGTTTACAGCTCTCGATATGTAAGATGCTAACTTGCATGTGGTTATCCATCCTTCCCCCAGACACTTCCTGAGCTTCATGGCAGGTCATGACTTCCTGCACATTCCGATTCTTCCTGTGACTTCATGACTTCCTGTGAGTCCGATTCTTCCATTCGGACTCACCACTGCTCAATGAATCATCATCACAGTTGTCTCAGTAGTGGTGGCCCACCTCTGACATCAAGGTGTCCTTATATTCCCTGATCTTGATGATTGACTGCTGGTGGCCCTATTGAAAGGAAGTGTGAGCCTCAACTTCTATGTGGAAATTCTTCTAGACAAACCCTCTTCCTAAAGAACTCTGGCCTCGCTCGCCATCAAATTTCACATGGCTGCTTTCACTACCTTGCACCCTCTGCTGCAGGGGCATTCTCTCTTTACTCACTCATTTACTTCTACATTTTAGTAGGCTCCCCCTCAAACCTTCCCTCCTGATAAGTCTATTGGTCCCAATGGGACCTTAGCCTTGTCCTCACAACACTGATAGTCATTCTTTGAACCTCTAGCCTTGTGTGCTATCTCTCTCCGTGAAGGTTGCCATACTGCTGGTGGTTACCTTTTGCATGATATTTTAGCAAACTGGGGGCCATGATAGCAGATGCCCATTTACTACATTTTGTAAGTTTCCCTATACTTGTACCCAAAGTTAACTCTAATTTTCCTCTCACCCAACTTATACACTTGCCTTCTTTATTTCCAAAGCGTCTCAGCTCGGTGGAGGAAAGTCACCTTTGCTCCCTTGACATCTGCAGGGCCCCAGCCTTCTACCTGCAGTGGACAAAACTCTTCAGGAAGTCCCCTAAACTATCACTATAGCTGAACACATGAAGGTGCAAGTGATACAGAAGCAGCAGTATGGAGCAACAGACAGGAGCTGGTACACAAGGAGACTGCAGCCCTGTGTTGAATTTTTTCAGCGTTGGCACCATTACTCCATTATACACATTTTAACATCCTTAGTTAAGACTAGCCATATAGAAAACAGCTCTGTAGTTTGTTTTAGAATATTCTAAATTTTTAGTTGAAGGATATATTCATGTAGGCACACTTTATTTTAAAGCTTTTTTTTACATTAACACCATTTGGTAGAAATCCTTATACTTAAATGGAGTATGCTTTTTTTCATGTACTGATAGCAATGTACCAGCTTGAAAGAGCAAATCTCTGTGGAAGAGGGGAACATGGTGACTTAAATTAATAAAATATTGCGAGACTAGTTTAAAATATATAAAACATTGTGGTAACGAGTTATGGAGATGATATATGTGTACCTTTTGCATGTAGGAAATTTGCACCCACTCTGCATCTGGTCTGAGGTATTTTAGTCACCCTCAAGCTGAAAAGAAGTATGTGAATATAGGCAAAAGATGGTGTTTGACAACAGAGTTGTTTTTTCATTGGAATGCTCCTTTTTTATCAGACCCATTGACTTTTCAGTGGTTTGTCCCCAGTCCGCAAAAGCAGGCTCAATATCAGAGAGCAAAAGCAGTCCTTAAGGTGAACCGGCAGGTATGGAGGAAGTGTATTTGCAATCCCAGTTCTGTCTAGTGAGAATGAGCATTTTATCAGGCAGCAGCTTCTCAAAAAATCTACAGAACATTGGATAGCATCATGACCCTCACCCCCAAATAAGACTTCCAGTATCTTCATAGCCATTGAACTGTTAATTTAATACAGATATGGCATTTTCCTATACAGACTTGTTTCATTTGAGACATATCATTGGTAAGTGTTTGGGTGGTGACAGTTGTCTCATGCTTTATATCATTAAATGTATAGAAAGAACAAATATTAAATGTAACTTGAAAGTGGAATGGTGGTGATGGGATTATGTTAAAGGGAAATGATATATCTATTGCTCTTCCTCCTCTGTAGGTGACGATATTTCCCTGGGAGATGCTGATGACATTTTGAAGCAGTTTCCATCTAAAAGTGGCAGAAGGCCTACTTCTGTTGACACAGTAGCAACAGACCCCTGGCTGCGACCTGGAACATCAGAGACCCTGGAAAGATTTATGTCTGGACAGTCAAATCAGGCTAAACTGTCTTCTGAAAACACTTTACCTTTTAATTGGCAGGGACTGTCAACTGCACATGGTTGAATAAATCTATATTGAAACAAGCTGTGCCTTTAATCATAAGAAAGAATGTAAATCACTACTGCACTTTTAAAATGTTCAGTTTATTTTCTTGTAAGACTAGTCTTATATGTAAATACTGTAAGCTATATGTATAGGTGGTTTTTAATTAAAATGTTAAAGTAGCAGAAGCTGTAGACTGTATAGGATGTTTTATTAAACCAAAGTAGGGAAGTGGAGGTTTTTTGCACTCTTTTCTATAAGTTAAACTGGTCAGTATGTTACAGATATTTCAAGACTTAGATTTGAAGCTTGTGAGAGTATAGCATTAGCTAAGAGAGCTTTTAATATCAAAACAGAATGATTCTGCCAACATACTAGAATGAACAACAAAGCTGAATTCATTTTACTCTTGGTACTTGAAGTGATTTTTACCTCAAAGCAGCAGGTAGCTATCTAAAAACAGTGATAAGAGAGGGTTATAGCAGCCTGTATATGTTCAATATTCAAGTTACTGAATCACTGTTGTGCATCTACATGGACAAAAGATTTGTGTAAACAATTGATCATTCCTGTTCCAGTTACTAACAGTTTGCTTTCTTTTCCCAATCAATCAGTTGTGTGCTAAAACACTAATTATACCTTTCTACTTCTTCCTGTTTGTGTTGATAATGTAGATATTGTTGAGTGAATATTGTTAATATTTTTAATTTATGGTTATGATTTCGAACAATTGATGAAAATAAATTATTTTATTACCCAAAGGTAAAGCTTTAGTCCCATTCTGTGGAAATGTGAGTGAGAAGTGTTAAAGGCTTAGCTTTCTGTAGGTGTACAAACTTCTGCCTATGGGCTTTTGAGTTAAGACATGTGGATTGCAATTGTTCTACTAAACCCCATATTATCTCTAGCCTGCTGAGTGATGATGGTGAGAGATAGAAAATGTATTTACTGGCAACCAGGCTGCTGCTATGCAAATATCCTGGGGCAGAAGCGCTTCTGAGGAAGTTTGAGCTCTTGTTAAGAGCTCAGGCAGAGTACATGCTAATGTAGGAAGTGACAAGTGATCCAAGGAGAGGCGAGTTTATACCTCCTTCCTGGACTAAGTTGCTTGTGAAAAGGGTCCTTGCAGAGGGATGGGAATAGGGGAGTGATGGAAATAAACTCTGCAATGCTGCCTTCCTCCCTCCACAGTAATGAGGGCTCACACTGGGCTGAAAACAAAATGGAGACAGGATCCAATAAACAAATGAGTCTATCTTTGAGCACCAGGAGCCACCAGCTGGGCTGCCTGGCTCTACCTCAGATTATGAGGAGTCAACCTACAGGGATCATGGAGGAGCAGTACCCATCAATTCCACTGTCTTGGGCTGGGACTCTGGGGCTAGTGCTGGAGTGGGGAAGTCTTGGCTGACAGCATCATCAGTTTCTCTCTGGGTGGCACCAAAGGACCCACTACTGAATAGGAACTTGTGGCAACATGCTGCCTCTGCTTATCTTCACCATTGGTGCTGCCTCTTTTCTGCAGGCAATGGTGGCACAGAGCACCAGTAAAGACCCTGTCCACAACAAACAGGTCCAGGATGGATGGCACTGTGATCCTGCTGGTGCCACAGTACCCTCCCCAGCTGATCCTGGATCAGACACAATGGTGCCTGGGAGCAGGGTAGAATTGACAGTGAAACTTATGTAGGCAGAGGGGACTAGCTGACAGGTCACACTGGTCAAGGAAACAAGTAGCTGCAGGTTACACTGGTTTTGATTGCACAGATGAAAGAATTCAAAAACTTTATTGACCTATAACCTGATTAGAATATGCCAGATGAGAACCAATATTGTACAGAAAGTTGTACAGAATTTTTACATAGAAAACTTTACATAGCTGTACCATATACATTTTGTCCATCAGAAAAAATTTTCTACATCCACTGTAATATAGAATGCTTGACAACCTTGTCTTTAACCATCAGGGCACAATTCACAGTATGAATACATTTCCAATCAATTTAACCATCCCCAAACCATGCCAAGATTTGTTACTTTTATATATTCAACATTAAATTCTGTACACAAGAAAAATCTACATCAAACAAAAAAAAAGTGACAGCAGACACAATCTAGACTGTTTGTGGTGATTCAAGTTTCCAGTCCTTGAAGGATCATCAGAGTTCAATGGCTCTTTATATTTAAAACCCTAAAACAAGTATATTACAGGTAGTTATGTCAGTCGTGATATTTTCTACATCTGTTCTTGACAAAAATCCAGCAACACTAACTTTTGGACTACAACAAAACAAAAATCATGACAAAAAATAAATCCAAACTTCTAGTGCATTTGGTAAACCATAAAATGTTATGGGTTTTTAGCAAATCAATAAAATACAGAAACAAAACAATGCAGGAAGAACTGTATAGTGTTTAATAGTTTATATTACAGACCTGCATCTCTGTACATTTTTCACAGAAAGATGATTACCAAATATCTCAGGTAGCCTGAGTGTGCAAAAAATTTTCAGAATAAGAATATCAGACAGTTGCTAAATACCTTTTACCATGAACAATAATTTCCATTCTTTTTTCCACTATAAACATTTTATCCTTCAAAACACAGCTCTCCTGAGTGGTACTTCTTGCAGAAGTTCAAACCTTTACATATATAGTTCTTTGGGTAGGCTTTAGTTTCACACCTGCCATAAGCATCTGTTGCTATACTGCTATCTAGAACAGTAAAGGATATTGTAGCCCATGGTGACAACAGGACTGTGCTAAAAACTGGCTCTATGCTCAACATGAGCCAGGAAGGAGAACCAACAGCAATAATCCATCAAAAAACCAAAAGGAACTGGAGTTTTGCAAGCCAGAATTACAGTTGTAAGCATCTGTACCATTAACCCTTAGATACACATTGCCATACCAAAAAAAACCGTTTTTATGGATATCCAGACAGAAATCCTCCACTACCTTGTCCTTTTATATAGCTGAGGGATGTGGTTTCGTAACAAAGTAATATTCAGTCAGTGCTTGCTCCTGCTTGTTCCCAGCTCCTGCTCTGGTGGTTGGGATATCTGAAAAACTACACCAATCCGCAGGAAAAACCTTCGCAGAACAGCTCGAAGTTCAGGAATTAGGTCAAACTGCATAATTTCACACAAGAGAGGGTAGTAGAATGAGGCATGGGCTTTGAACTGAGGGGGGGAAAAGATAATGTTATTCTATTAAACAGAAACCTCTTGCAACACTTCCACAAGTCTGCTCTTTAGAGGGAAGGATTTAGAAAATTATGCATCAAGGTGAGAGATACAAAATTCTGACAAAAGTTAATGGGGTTAAAGTATAAACAATTTTATAATTGGGCTGCTAAATGAAGGCTCATTGTATGTGAAGTATTTTGAAGCATTCTGCAATGGCTATGTATCTACATTTGTTTTAAACTATTTCTCATTCTGAGAAGGAGTTTTTCCTTTTTTGCTTAAGATTTGTGCACCATGTCAGCTTACATTTGCAGCATACCATCAAATTTTACTAAGCCCAAGAAAGCTTAGTGCAATGTGGGAGCTATAGAGGTGGTCTTGGATGAAAATACAACAATTACTTGCTGTACAATTGCTGAAATATTCTAATTTGTCCAACAACTCATTCTGGAATTTGTTATTACACATAGCACAGGATATAAAGGAATTAGGTGTTATGGGAAGAATGAAGAAAAGAATATATTAACTATTGGTGCTTCCCTCCTGGTATCTGTGTGTGGGAGGCAACTTTTAAAGAGACACAGACATATCATGTCTTCATGTTTTATATCAGTATGCTTGTCTACCCTGCCCTCCCCCCGTTTTCCTCCTCCTCTCCCTCCCTGTCTGTCATCAAACCTCATGTGCACCATCTCAAATTAGAGGGCAAGCACCTTAGCGCAGGACTTCTCAATTGTCCATAAAGCAGCATGAACATATAAAGATCTAATACTACAAAATTAATACAATATCTCAGTACTTTGTCGGCTTCATATTTTCATAGTTTTTTAAACCTATCAGTGTTCAGATAACATTTTGAACCACTTCTTATTAGCAATACTGTTTATTTTATAATATCTTTTATGCAAATACTTACCCTTTCATCACTAATTTTGAGGACCTTAGTCAAGAATAGGAGCAGTAGATTAGTCCAGGCTTCCCGATGACTTTCTGATGTAAGAGTAAGGAAGTAACTTAGAGCTTCACTGCAGACACTACAAAGAACATAAAATTACATAAGATGCAAGGTGTTTGCAAATGCAATTGTGACCATAATAAATACTGGATGAGTCTTTGAACAGCAAAGCACCATTTTGGGAAAGCATCCCCAGCCAAAATAAATGAGAAGGGAAGGGGGAGAGAATCTCAAACCCCAATACTATTGTACTTTTAACAGAGTCCTAGGACTTAACATCAGGGAGGCTGATGATCAGGACAGAGCTGGACTTCTTCAGGCAAATTACACAGAATGGCAGTAGCAGGCTCACTCTCAGAGGTGCCAGAAAATGATAGAAAGATAAAGTACATCTAGATTTCATAGGATTTCCAGGTGTGAAAACGGACCTCCCACAGATTTCTGTGTCTTTCAGAGTCACCCACATAGTCTATAAATCTGCCTATCATCACCACAATATTCAAATCCTGTATTGTTCAGAGAGGTACTTGCTAGGGTTTTGTAGACTAAACATTTTCTGTTTGAAAATCTTTGCAAAAATGGCAGAACATAGGATGGTGTCAGCCTTAACTCTGGTTTGTTTTTCATGTGGGGGAGGAGATAAGGATTTCCATTGCACCTAAAGTTTGTGTTGTGGTTTGTTAAAGGGGACAGAAGCTCAACTTTTCCCATAAATCTGAGGCACACCACCATTTTTCTTTGAGAATTCACTATATACTTTCACTTGTAAGAAATGGCTCAGGTGCCACTGAACTTCAGGACCTACTGACACACAGAGCCTCTTGTGGTAGTTGCTTATTAATTATTCTGAATTCTTATATTTTCTAAGACTCAGAGAACACTAGAACTGGAAAGGACCTCCAGAGGTCATCAAATCCAGTTCCCTACCCTCATGGCAGGACTAAGCATCGTCTATTATCTCTGATAGGTATCTATTTAACCCGCTCTTAAATATCTCTAGTGATAGAGATTCCAAAACCTCCCTATGCAATTTATTCCAGTGTTTAACCACCCTGACAGTTAGGAAGTTTTCCCCTAATGTCCAACCTAACCCCACCCCCTTGCTGCAATTTAAGCCCATTGCTTCTTGTCCTATCATTAGAGGCCAAGAACAATAATTTTTCTCCCTCGTCCTTTTTAGATACTTGATATGCTATATGTCCCCTCTCAGGCTATGTCTAACACTATGGTTTTTTTCTGGGATGCCGGAGGTATCCCAGAAAAACTCCACCGCATCCAGGGATTGTGTCTGCTCTTCCTGCCTCCCCACACCCCACCTGCCCGGTCTTCCTCCTCTCACGAGGAGGAAAGGCTCTTCCAAAAGAGGAGACTTTTCCAAAATTTGGCCCAGAGTAGACGGGACAAATTTCGGAAAAGTCTCTTCCGAAAAAAACTATCAGAAAAAGGTGTGCAAATTGCAGAGCAAAATTTGCGTACCTTTTTCCGATACATCAGTGTAGTCTAGACATAGCCTCAGTCTTCTCCTTTCCAAACTAAAGACACCCAGTTCCTTCAGCCTTGCCTTATAGCTCATGTTTTCTAGACCTTTAGTAATTTTTGTTTCTCTTCTCTGGACCTTCTCCCATTTCACCACA